GGACATCTGAAATACAGGACTTGTGAGAAAAGGTGGGAGCAGTTGTCCACAGAAGATTGAGGAAAGACATGGTAATAGTCTGCAAATACTGTAGAGGCTGCTGTAAGGAAGATGGGATCTTCATGTTCTCTTAGGAAAGAGCAAGAATTAATAAGATGAAAGCACAGCAAGAGTTAGATTAGGCATTAGGGAACAAAAATGCTGTGAGGGAACATCCTGAAACAGAAATTTGATAGTGAAGTTGAAGAAGTCTATAATAAAAATCTTGGAGAATAGGCTAAATAAGAATGCCAGAAGCATGTTTATGATCTTGTCCTGATAAGAAGAAAAATGGAGCATCTCTTGTGGCCCAGGCACATTTCTTTGTTTGCTGGTCATGAATTGTGTTGTATGGTTGTTCCCTGTTTCATTATTTAATATATAAAAGGAGTGCCATTGATTATGGCTTTTTACTGTGTCTACAAATGTCTATGATTACTATGATTAAATATTTTCACTTGGCTTTAGAGAAATAAGCACTCATGCTCATTTATTTTGTGTTCTTCAATAAGCTTTTGGCTTTTGCTGCAAAGGATGTCAGCAGTCAAGCACTCCTTAAAAGCTTTTCCTATTTTATTGGATACATCTAAATTCCACATAGTCATGCTGAATATTATCAGTTACTCTTGACTCAGACAAAATTATTTTAAAAGCAGTCAGGGAATACATGGAGGGGTTTTAGTGCTGAGCAGCTGATTTTTAAATTGCAGAGTTCTGTGTGGTTTCTCACACACTGTCCATGTGAAAACTTGGACAACAGATTTATGTCATTACATTAATGAGTGTGACTTGGACTTTTCCATTGGGGAGCTTAGATTGGATCAGAGCAAAGGTCATTTGTTGTTGGTTATCTCATGTGTTTTTCCTGCTCAATATAAAAAGAAGTCAGTGTATGATTCTTGAATGTTCTGTACCGTGAGATTCAGAGTAGGAAGAACTAAAACCATTGTTGACCTTACAAGCTTTGTTAATCAGTTTACATCTACTGTTTGCTATCAAATGCTGATGCTCTTACTGGTTTTCTTGGAATGCAGCATAATTCCAGCCCACAGTGAAGTCCCAGCAGATGTTCCCATCACCCCAGACCAAGTTTATTTTTGTGTGATGATCTCTTCATTTCCTTGAGATTTCCTTTCCTTTTTTCCCCCTCTCATGATTTATCATCCAAACATTCATCATCTCCAGAGGAACTGCAAAACACATTCCCATGAAAATCCTAAATCTCTAAAAGCAAAAAAAAAAAAAACCAACAAAAAAAAGCAAAAAAGAATAAACCCCCCATGATGTAGCCTTGTTTGTCACTGAATGGCCTGAGTAAACTCTTCTGTCACAGCCATAGTAAAGTCTTTAAAGTCCAGGACTGCAATCAGACTCTGTCATAAACAGGAGTATTGCCTTTTTGACTGATTTCCACTCTAAAACCGAAGGGTTCATTAATCTCATCTAGGGTGTAGTGAGGGAGAAAAGAAAAAAGGAAAGAAAAGAGTAGGCAAGATGTGATAAGGTAGCTTTAATGATTTTGGGGGCTTTATTGGCTGTACATCTTTGGTCAATCTCAAGCCATACTAGTTGTCTCAGTGAGGCTTTTCTTCTCTGAAAATAATGGTACCAGACATTATAATTACACATGGAGGTCTTTCAGCAATGCTTCAATTCCATATTTCTTTAGCACACTATAAATAAGAAAAAATAGGCTTTTGGTCTACAGAGATATGGTGAAAGGCTTTTACTTGGAAGTACTTCATCATAGCAGGTTTTTTTTAACTGATGCCAGGCATTTCTTCAGTTTGATGGAGGAAGCAAATTATATCAATGCAGATTTTAGGTGAGGAAGGTCTTGTCCCATTGGCTGTTACACAGTCATTGGTCATCAAACATGCATGTAAAGTGTTGTAGGCCTTAGCTGTGGTCTTGAGGGTGCTTTGGGTAAGAAGTATTTAATGTTTGTAGCTTCTAGAAAAGTCCATGTGAGTAAGCTCTGTGATATATAGAGGTCCATGTGAAGGCTGTTGTTCCCAGGCTTTTGGATGCACTGTTTATGTTCTGAATAAAAGCCAGAATGGAATGTGATCTTGGCAATCTGCCCATTAAAGGTGTCCTGGTTTAAATACAGAAATTCAGAACTGCACCAGGGTGAGGTTCATTTGGTACATGCAACAACAAGGCAATCATTGCCTTTCTCCTTCTGGAGGCTGAAACAGCCTCTATTAACTGATGTAATTTTTCCCTTCATGATGGACAGTGACTGGACTTGGCTGTTTGTGATTTTGCTGGAGAATTTTCCCTTCTGGTTTATTATTATCCAAAGGAGTTTGTGGAAGCAGCAAGGAACATTTTACATCTGTGCACAGACATTCATCCTCTGAATTGGTTTTCCAGAATCCTTTATGTTCTGCTCAGGGAGTGTCTCTTCCCACTGAAACCTTATTTTATAATGCTGTTGTGAGAAATGGCTGTGTTTTCCTTCTAGTGAGTCTTGTTTCCCATATTCTAAGTTTTCCCATGTTCTTTTTTTTTTTTTTTTAATTTACATTGCAGAGTGTTCCCTTTGTGAACAGCCAGCTTATTTTCTGGAGCTTCAACATCCAGGATTTTGCAGGATTTACCTTTTGGGAGAGGTTCTGATAGCAAAAGACCTTAAACAGAACTGGGGAAATCTAGTTCCTACATCATTTATTGCATGTTGACAAGAGAGGACTGGCCTAATGCCCTAGAACTGAATATGTTCTAAAACAGATACTGAGAAATTTAAATATTTTTAAAAAGCTACTGAGAAATTTAAGAACCTTATAAAACTGATTTCAGTCATTCCACAACTAAAATTAATTTATAAATAATACAAATATTAAAATATCGGTCATGTATTCACACAGATGCTTTAGCAACAACAGTAGGACAAATGATTAATGTTGCAGTCATTCCGTGATGGGGACGTTGGCCCACAGCCCAACACAGCAATGTTAAACACTGTATTTCTTCCAGGAAAGTAATTCCTGATTGCAGTATCTATTTTCAGCTCAAGTAGCTCAGTGTGGGAGACTTGGACTAGCTCAGAAAGGACTGTGTTTTCCTGGTGTCATTGTGTCTCAATGCAGTTGGACATCAGAAATCAAATATCAGTTTTGAACAAAATGCAGCTTATCTATAGAGGTAATTTTTTGACTTGGAATATTTTAGCCCAAGAATGAGTTCTTGAGATTCTAAAATGCTTTCAAAACAGGATTTAGATTGGCCTTCTATCCACATATACATCAAGGTGTTAACATAGATAATTTTCTATCTCTCTCTCTTTCCTATGGGCTTCCACAAATTGAATTTTGTTATTCTAATGGTATCAATTTATTTAACACTTAATTTCTACTTTAATAAGATTTAGTGTTTAATATATTTATATTCTATATTGTTATATCAATGTATTAATATTAATGTATTAACATATTATTAAATATATTTAAATACCACTGATAAAGAATAAGATAAAGAGTGAGTGAGTAAGTAAAAGAAGGTTCTGGGCAAACCTGAACTCTCAGAAATCAGTAACAGACACACTTTGTAGTTCTTTGAGATCTACAGCACAAAACTAAACAAAAACTGTGTTACAGTCACACTTTAACATGACTCTCCAAATGTGAACTCACATCTTGCATCACACAGAAAAATGAGGAGGGTAAGAATTTTTATTGTCGACCTTCATCATTCCCAGTATTACTTTGCTGAATTGAATAATATAATTTATTTTTAAAACCACCCTAGTGGCCTGCACTGCTTGGGGGTGAAAGACAACCATGGGAGATGTGGATTCACTGTTGGCTGCCTGCCATGGAGCCTTTCCAAACATAAAAGTGGGAAGGCCACCTGAGCGTTGGTTGTGACTTAAACTTCCAGCTGTAGCCTATAATCTCCTGACAACTTGTTTTTCTTTCTGCAGCAAAGTAAGGCAGCCACTTTTATGGGAAGATGAGGAAAACTGCCAGGAAAGCTCATCTGTCTCATTTATGAGTGCATCAGGAAGCAAAGGGTTGACTCAGCCCATGTTTGAGGTTTTAGCAAGAAATAGACATCCTGAAATTTATTTCTGCATTTGAACTTAGCAAGAACACTGAGTTTATTTAAATTTATTTTGAATTAAGGTTTAACACACTGTATATTGCCTTGGAATAGAGCCCTCTGATGTGTTTACATGGTTCTGTGTACACAGTGGGGATGAGTAAATCACTGCAGTGGGTTTTTCTGTGTGAGGATGGAGTTTTTCAGGCCTTTCTGGAACTATTGAATGATAGGATTGTTAGGAGAAGCCTGGCTAATCTGTTTTCTTCTGCAATAGCATGCCATAGCCACAAACTGTGTTGGTGATAACAAAAAAAGGCAAGCCATGTTGTCAGATTCCTTATTTACCCGAGTGAACATGGAGTAACTGTAAGGAAAACAAGACAATGTATTTATATTCCCTTTGAACCCAAGTCAGAAATATCTCTTCAGAATGGTGCATATTTAATGATAGCATCATACCTTGGGATTTTCTTCTTGTTGGATTGTGGAGGTGTAGGGTTTTTTTTCCTTAAATTCCCTTCTTGCCTAGTAGGGAGTTGATATTTATAACCCACCCTCTTTGAGAACAGCTTTTAAATATTTCAATACCAAGAGAGAACTCGTTTCCAGATTCACTTTCAGGATGGAGTCAAGAAATTAAAGCAATGAGGGCTTAAAAAGAAAAGCAAAGAAGAGCCAGAAGAAAACACTTGTTCACTTGTTGGATTTCCCACTCAGAAGCTCTTGCTGTCAAATTTATCTCTGTCCCACTTAGAGCAATAGAGATTTCCACCCTGAGAAAGGGAGAGATGAAATAATGAGGAAGGTAATAGTGAAAAACACAAATGTGAATAATGAGTTACAAGTATTAACAGTCTTGCATGATTAGCTATTTTGGGTGAAATTTCTCAGGTAATTGTTCTCTTTTTCAGGGACAGAGCTCCCTTCATCTTCACCTCAGAGATGGAGTATTTCATAACAGAGGGGGGCAAAAACCCACAGCGTTTCCAGGAGTTTGTGGAGCTTTGTTGTCGAGCTTATAACATTGTCAGGAAACACAGCCAGCTGCTCCTGAACCTGCTGGAGATGGTAAGGAGCTCGAGGATGAAACCAAAAATCCATTTCTGGGGTTCTCTTCCCTTTAATCAAATCTCTGCTGCCTCCAGTAGATTTGATTTGAAGAGGTATCAGGTGCCCAGGTGCTGCTCTTCCTGTGCAAAGAAGGTGTTCACTTTAATAATTTCTGAGAAAAGGAAAGCTAAGCTGCTTGGTGCTTTTTCCATTGTTATATAAAAGCTTGGTGCTTTTCCCATTGTTTTTTACAAAATACCAAAAAACTGCAAAAAAAGCTGGCTAAAAGTTTTGCATTCAGGAATTTCACTCAGCTCTTTTCCTAGGTCTTCATTTACCATCCCTGTTCATGTTTACAAGACAAAGTAAGCTAAATATTTCATGGGGGTGGTCTGACAGTACTTAGTGATGCCTTTACAATGAGGGGGTTGCCCATTTCCACAGTCCCTCCCTAGGATGGCAAACACAGGAAAGAAAGAGCAGTGTCCATATTGACACAGGTTTTAAAATCCTTTTGTATAGATTTTTAAATGAGTTTTTATCAGTAAGTATTCCTACTGATTCATGTGCTGTGGCAAGTTCCATATCTGATTTATGCCTCTATTTACTTGCGTGGGAAAGGTTAATGATTTTCCTCTTCATGGGTACAACGAGAATATGACATCAACTAATATTTGCTAAGATGCTTGGCTAAGATATCAATCCAGAATTTATGTGCAGGGCCCCACAATCTAAGGGAGTGGTATGTGCATAAAATGGCCTTATAAACAGAGCTGCTGAGATTGGGGTACAGCCAAAAAGTTTCTCTGTAAACACCACTTTATCATCTCCAACTTGTGCAATGAGGGTGAGAGACAGAAACTGAAGGAATCTCTCCCCTTGCCTCTTCCATCTTGTCCATGGATTCTGATGCAGGGATTCAGTGAGAGATCCCCTAAAATGGAGCAGGAAGGATTGCTCCAGATCTCCTGAACTTGCTGCTTAGTAGCCACAAAGGTGCAACAAATCTGCATTCCCATCATAAAGCACAACTTTCCTCTGGAAGCAGTGCTGGGTGGGGTTGTAGGAGATGCTGTCCAAGTTCAAGAGCCTCTGGAAAGCTCAGGATCAGCCTGTTCTCATCCACAGCAGTAATCCCTGCAGATTTCTGAACAGGTTGCCTAAAACTGTGTGGTGCAAATAAAGCCCCATCTCTTTGTCCCTCTTTCTGCAAGAGGCAGAGATGATGATGTCAGATTACCCTGGGATAATAGAGAGCCTGTTAGAAAAATGCTCCAAGCAGCAGCGCTGAAATAACTCTCTCTGCCTGACCAAAGCTCAGGTTTGTCTCTATTCGGGACTTGCTGCGTCTTTTGTTCCTGCTGATCTTGTAGCAGAGGTAACAGAGCTGAGCTCAGAGTCAGCATCCAGATGTGTATTAAATATTTGTCAGTGGGCTGCAGCTCAGTCAGTTGTGTTGCACTTCATCATTGAAAAATGACTGGCAGCACACTCACACCCCGTCCACAAGCTCTTCATTGCAAAAGGAGTCAAACAAACAAGACCAATTTGGGAGCACCTCAATTTTGCCAGTAATATTTGGAAAGGTTAGCCTGTTTCTGCACTTGAAGTGGGGTTTTGGTCCAAAATTGCAAAAAATAGAATGATTCATTTCCATTGGTCATTCCTTGAAAAAAAAATAGACTGTGAAGTTCCACTTAAAATTCATTTCTACACAGAATTTCAGATGTCATCATGGAGGGATAAGATAAACTAATCACTGCTTCTTTGTATCAGTGAAAGTTTCAGATTTCTCTCCCTGTTTGGAAACCTGCATCATTAATCTTTCATTCTACTCCCACATTCTATTTTCCCAGATGCTATTTGTAAAACATAGTTAAAAAAAGTTTAAAATGAGACTAAAAAACAGAGTACTTCACAGAATATTACACTGAATGTACAGAATACTCACAGAAGAGTAAACTCTACCCTGGGTGATCAGTGACAATTAGTGGTTTAGAGCAAACGTGATTATGAACAAATTGAGGAGTTTTTGGCCCAGTTTGGGAATTAATGTTATTTCTTGGTGGAGCAAGCATGTTTCTAAAGCTGTACTGACATTTGCTACTGGGAGTAAGAAATAATCCATGAAGTTTCCATCACTTTCAAAAGCAGAAACATCTGTGGGAGACCCAAGAGTCTTCTGGCAGAGTTCAGCTGTGTAAGTGCCTGTAGTTCATCAGCTTTGCTCTCATTAAAGATTTGATGTGAACTACTATTAAGAGGGTGATGACAGGACACAAACACCTTCTGACTGCTTTAAAGAAATGCAAACTCCATTAGTAAAAAAAAATTTTTTTATATAGAAAGTTATTAAAAGGAACTTTATCACTCCCTTTCCTGGTGAAGGGCGAGGAGCTTAATTTGCAACAGTATGCAACACTTGTTTTTTTTTTTTTTAATCCAAAGGGGGCAAAAGTTGTTCTCGTCTTTTATAAATGGGTTGAAGGTATATTGATAAATAGCACTGTGTGTCCTTCAGTGCTGAATATTGTTATTGTCCTTGCTGTCAATCCACTTAAATTCACCTCATTGAGCTTTCTGTCTCTCTGCTCCTTGCCAGTCAAAACTCTGTGAAGGCAGCAATCTAACTGTCCAGTGGTAGCTTGGAATGGGCTGAGGAAGATTTTCCTCATAATGCCAAAAAGAAAATATACAGCTGTTGAGAATGTTTGAAGGAATAACCTTAAAATAAAATCAGTGTTTCCTTTTTTCTTTGCTGTTACTTGAAAAACTCAGTGGGTCTTTCTGTCTGAGCTAGAGATAAATATCAAAGGAAAATACACAGAGACTGCAAATTCAGATACATTTGCATCTGTGCAGTCTGAAGGAGTGATATTTTTCTGCATTACACGCACAAAAAAAACACATCACTCCCAACTTACTGTGATTGCAGAGAAAAATCAGTAGGTTTTGAAGAGAGTAGATTTTATTGTTGTTGTTGACATTTGTAAATGCCTGGAGAAAGCTGCATGGGCAATTGGACACACTGAGCTGTCTAATCTCCTCAAGTTCTTCCTTTTCAAAGGGAATATTGATATTATTTGGTTTTTGAATCTAATCTGACTGACTAACTAGAACAGCTCTGTCCCTCATCCGTGGAGAATAATACCTGCTCCAGAGGGCAGCTCTCACTGCCCACTCAGGGCTCCTGCCATGAATCAGTGTCTGGAGATGCTCTTCTCCTGATGCCTTGGGAAGGCTGACCTAGAGCAGAGACCAGACAGAGCTAAAGAATAAAGCAGGGATTTATTAAGAGGCCTCAAAGAGATCTACCTTGGGCAGCACAACCTGAACTGGCCCCAAAATGCAGGGCCGGGCACGGGGTCTGTCCCTGGGATCAGTTCTGCTCCATTTGCACCTTGCAGTTCATTGTCCCATTCCAGCTTTAGCCCAGGCAGTCCCACCCTGCTTGTTTTTCTCTCTCCAGCCCACGGGGTTTGTGCTCCTGGGCTGAGATTGGGATCATTTGTCCTTGGTGCCCAGCTGGAGCAGGAATTGTTTTGTCTCCCTGCTCTGTGCACAGAGCTCACCATCCCCTGATGTGAAGTTCAGAACTGCACACTAAAGCAGCACAGAATCTGAAAAATATAAAAGCTAAACCTGAGGCATCATTGCTCTGACTGTAAAGGGAGTGAATCTGTGATCCCTTTGCAGGAGGAGCCCGAGCAGTGCTAGTGGAACCAGGAGATACAAATGAGAGGGTGATGTTGTGCTAAATTGAATTAGGGCTAAGACAACCACAGAAATGTGGTTACAATTGCTCAGGTGGCTGAATTTGGTCACCTTCCCTTTATCTCCATTAGAAGGATCTGAAGGAGGCTTAGCCATGCACACCTTGAGGTTATGGTGTCAGAAAAGAAAATAAATAACTCAAATGGATCATTGATTCTGACCCATGCCTCCTCCAGGTGCCTCAGTGTGGAGGTTTACAATGCAGTATATTCACTTTATTATTCCAGGCATTGCTGTAGCATCAGAACCACTTTTCAGATCAGCAAAACTGCTTTACAAGGCTGTTTTGGTGTAAAATCTTCTATTTCTCAGGCCTGTTTCATTTAAATTTCTTTACAATAGAACAGTGGACTAATGATCTATTATTATTTCCATTTAGATGCTGCACGCAGGATTGCCTGAGCTGAAGAGCATCCAGGATGTGAAATATGTGTATGATAACCTCCGTCCTCAGGACTCAGATCTCCAGGCTACAAGCTACTTTACAAGGTAAAACCACAGTATTTCCCAGAAACCTTGTCTTCTTCAGGCATGGAGCAATTTTTCTCCTATGTTAAGAAGCTTAATCAGGGAAATTACACTAAAAGATAATTTGTCTTCACGTGTTTACTTTTAAAAAGTCATTGCTTATGCATGTTGTAACCAATTTCCTCAAATTTCTGGAAGAAACAGTTGTACATTTGTGGTACACTTGTAACAAGTCACTTACTCAGTGCCTGGAGATTTCTTAGGCTTTCATGGTGAAACCATCCTATTTGTATCAAGTGTTTTCTCTGTTTTTAAATGCAGCAGCTACATACAAATGGATTTAGACTGCTTAAGGGGGTTCAACCTGTTAATAGTGTGAGTGAGAGCCTTCAATTTCTGCATTTTGCTCCTTTTTCTCTTCCTCTTTTGACCTTCTGTGCTCCCTCAGAGATGTTGCTTTCCCTGTGCTAGCCATAGTTTCTCCAGCTGCAAAATACTGCTGGCTCTTGCTTTCAATCCGTGAACAGATCAATCACAGAAAAGCCTTGTGTGTGAATGTAGATATATTTAAAGCTTCACTTGTGTTAGGATAATGAAACCTCTCACCTTTTCATGATAATAGCTGGGGATTAATGAGGAGGAGGTGCAGCTGGTGTGCATAAAGTCAGTCTAAGACCCTCAGTCCTGATCTTCCAGCTCTGCATCACACATAATTCCAGCAGTGAGGATGCTGTAGATGGAGTGAGTGCAAACTTCCCTGGAACTGGAAATTCCCTGCAGTTCTGGGCACAGCGTGAGGCAAAATCTCCCTGTCAGGGTCTGCCCTGAGCAGCACCATCATTTCCCAAGGACTATGAACTCGTGCTCTCTGGGCACCCTCTACACATGGAAAACAACCCAGGCTCCTCTGACCTGATGAAAGTTTTGGGAAATTAGGTGTCTTGTTTATATGTCTGCTTTTCATGCACTAGAATCTGCTGTAATCTGAGGAAACCAAGGCAGCAAGTTTGGAGAAGACTGGGACAGAGACCTAGAGACTCTAAGGGTGACAATTCTTTGAGAATAAAAAAGAGAAAAACTTGTCAAACAAAACTATTGTTCCATGACTTTACACACAGCATAGCACTAAGTTCCTTTTCCTGTAGCACTTGCTTTTTTCATATGCTTTCACTCCTGCCCCTTAGCAAGACTGTTATGTTTTAAAATTTAATTACAGCTTCACATTTGCCATCAACTCCTACCTTATCCTTTCCTTTAAAATTTCATATATTCCCAGATTACAGACTTAAATTTCCACTTCAAATAGGAAACATGCAGTTTCTAATTAAACTGTAGAAGTCTTGATTCTGTCAACTAGTTCAGGTGGTTGTGTCTGTCTCTCGTGGGTAAAACACCCAGTTTGTTTAGTTAGTGAAAAAGGGCTGGGATATAAAAAACAAGCAGGAAAATCAGAGTTTTCAGAGTGAAAATTGCATCAGTGGCATGCAGAGCTCAGAGCTGGTGCCCCTCTGGAGGGGGAAAGGATCAGCTTCCAGCTGGATCAGTTATGGGTTGACATCACTGCAGCCTTGCTTAAGGAAGAGTCAGGATGAAGATTTGGTTCAGGGCAGAGCTGGATCTCCACACTCTTTCTTTTGAGGGTTAGGGACATCAGGGTGGGAATTCACCTGCAGTCTTCCTCAGCCAAAGCATGTGGGGTAAGGCCATAAAGTGATATGAGAAAAGAACATTTTCAGAATAATTTCAGAAAGGAACAAGTCTGGACCGGACCTATACATATAGTGTGAAACTGAGCCTTGAAGCAAATACAATTCAATACTGACATTTAGAAAAAGAATATGGATTTTGGAAGAGTTGGTGTGCTTTGATGCCTGGTAGAGGTTTGTGCTAGGCTTAGGAAATCCTATTCACCTCACAGAGACTGTAGGTAGGACTCAGAGATCAGAATGTCCTTCTTCCCCTGAGATATCTTGTTAGGGATGGTGTTAAGGAAATTAAGGAAATTCCACTCAATTCCAACAAATTAGTTGTGCTGTGGGCTCTGTCCTTATTTGAAGCTGCATTTTCTCCTAATATACATTCTCTGAACTCCAGAGGTGTTGTTCCAATTTCCTTCAAAATGCTGAAGCTTTGTTATTGTCCATCATTGCACCACATAGAAAAGACAGATATTGCTAGAGTGCATATTTTATTCATTAATATTCTTAGGATTTGTTTCTATTATATATGCTCATTTGCAAGAAAATCCCTTTACATTAGTTCATGAATTTCCATGGATCTCATTTCTCTTTCTTTTCTTCTTTATTCTAATTTCTATTCATTAGTACATTATTTCTGTTAATTCAAAAAACATATTAACATTTAAACATGTTTGAACATGGGGATAATATCAGGCCTCATGTCTAGTAGGATTTTAACTTCTGGAAATTGTATCCAGGCATTTTTCAACATAAAGACTTTGGGATGGCCTGATACCCAGATCCATGCAGAGACTGCCCCTCTGTGAAAACTCTTTCCAACCTGGCCTTAGGAATATAAATATATTGAGATTTTTGTTAGCCGCATCATCTTTATTCCTTATATCCTTCTTATACAAAATATTGATAGGATAAAAAATCCAGTTACATTCTTTTCATGGTCAATCTCTGGCTTATTCCAGCATATATGTTCCAAACTGCCCTTAGAAAGACAAGGAAATTAGAAGTTCTGATTATTAGCACAACTTCTAGTGGTTCTCAAATCCCTTGCAATTTGTAGCTCCTTTTTCTCTGTAATTGCTTCCAAAAACACTTCATTGTTTTTTACAAGCTCTTTTCTAGAGAATTGGAATGTTAAACGTTGCCAACAGAAAGGTGTTTCTTGTTCTAAGTACAAGGTAGTTATTGTAATCTTTCAGATATAATCCTATAACGTGTCCACAGAAAATCCCAATCTTCTGCTGGTGGAAACAGGAGAACAGCATTCCTCTGTATTTCTGTAGAAATGGGCTGCTTTTAGCAATTCTCTGAGTTTGGTTTAGCAACACTGACACTGGCCCTAGTGCTGTTTAGGAACAGCATGAAATGATGAATGATGTCACAAAAGCTCCTGGCAGAATGATGTTGATTTGTTCTTTGCTATCACCTCTTTGGCCAGCAGAGCAATTGGGTCGGGGTTTGGACTCTAACATACTGACCCCTTCCAGGCTCCTAAAACGTTCTGTGTTTTACTGAATTCCTTTGCTCTCATTCTTGTTTTCAGTCATGTGCAGCAGTCTGTGGTGTCACTTGTGTGCAGCCCTTCCCACATGGGGTCAGTCCCCTGTTTGGAGCTGATGAGCAGCAGCATTCAGCCCCACAGCCCTCTGCAAGGTCACAGCCTCACTTGGGGATAAACAATGCACCAATTGAGAGTTAAACAAGAGTTTCTGTGTTTCCTTGGCAGTCCTGTGCACCTACTGCCAAATGAAACATCCTTGTCTCTCCAGCATCTGCCCTGAACTCAGTTTGATCCTTGAAACGCAATTTGATCCTTACCCCTCCCTCCTTTCCTCTTCCCCTGACAGCACAGTTTTGTCAGAAGCTGGAAACCCATCTTACCTCTGGATATAAATTTCCTCTATGGTTTTCTGCAGATGTCTTCAAATGTCAGCGTGGTGGGGCAGGCTGCCTGACATTTTTTAATGTGCCTGCACAGGGATGTGTATTTAAAATTGGTTTTAAGAGCATAAAGTTAGCCTAATGCAATGAATGGAGTTGATTTCAATTGATTGCAGTGTGCAATCTAACCCACTCACAGAAACCCATGAATAAGAGATGCAGGGTGGATCTGACAATTACCAGGGGAGCACAGTGCATCTCTTCAGCAGCCTGATGGAGGGGGTGCTGCTTGGGTCAGCTGCTTTGTTTAGTTATGGACTATATTTATTTATGGACTCATTTTTTAGGTACCTGTCTCTGCTCAGGTCAAGCACATCCACTCCAAACCACAAATGCCAGCAGCTTCAAACTGGACAATCCACAGTAACTCCTTTCAAAACATTATTCTAATCTCAAACTGATCAGTCAACTCTGTTTCTCAGGTGGCTGAGGGTATTTCAGCAACAAATTTCCCAAAAAGGTGAAACACAGTGGAAATTGGTGGCATCTGAAAGGGAATGGACAAAACTACAACACTAAACTTTATTTCAGTGATGTCCAAGTAGTTTATAAAGATTGGTGGTGTATGTGCCCCAAAGGAACAGGAGGCAGACTTCCTACTTGAATTTATGGTTTTTGAGGGATTTGTATTATAAAAGGTGTGGAATATTCTGAGAAAGTCTATTAATATGGGGGCCTGTTATTCAACTTGTTTTGGAATGGAGCGTGGTAAATTCATGGATGGAAATGTCGAATATAAATGGAACACTCTCCATTAACATCTGAGAATCCAGTGAAAATAAATTTTGTTCATTATACTCTAAATGATTTTCAGGCGTAGATGGAAATGAGAAGCAGGATATCATCAAGAAAGATAAAGAAATATCCACTAAAGCTAAAATCCTAATAACTAGGCAGTAATAATGGTTGTATGTGCTGTGTATAAAGGCTGATGTGTCCTGAAAAATCTGAGCACCAGCCCTCGGAATACCCATAGGTCCCATAAGGAATGTCTCCTTCCTAAAACTAAAACTGCCACTAGGCACTTGTGAAAACATCAGCCAAACTTTTCATCCATCTCCTTTTACACAAGCAGCCAGGCAGTCTGTTCATGTTTTACCTGATACTGTAATTTGACAGCTCTGTAGAAAGAAAGAAGCCAAATCTAAAATTCAAAGGCAATTCAGCAGGTGGAAAGCAGAAAGTCATTACTTTCCAATAATCCCAGATATTTAACTTTCTTTTCTGAGAAGTAGGTCAGAAACCAATCTGCATGGTAAACAGTTATTGTCATGTGGAAAATAGCATTTTTCTCCCTGAAAACTGTGTTGGCAATATTTGGATTCACTGCTAATATCACTCTAGTTAATGACAGTTTCCAGTTTGCTTCTGATTAACCTGGGCTTTTAATACTCTTTATACTGTTCACTTAGTTCAGCTGTCTCTAGACCATCAGGCACTAATTTTCTATGCAGCCTGGGCTACCAGAGCTCTCAAATAAATAAGAAACTTTTTGTCACCTTTGTGAAGGCAGAGCTTTGGGCACAGGCAAAGGTGGTAATGGCCAGGGAGCAAGAGGAGGATTTTTACAGAGAATACCCATGACCTTACTGCTTTCAACTACTGCTAAGCTTGATGTGGCTAGGGAAAAGGAGATGTATGGGGATTTGGGAGAGTTCAAGGAGAAACTTCCACCACTGGTCCTCAGGATGAACTCTAAAAATGCCAGCAGAAAGGGGAATTGGGTACCACAATGTGATAAACTGGGTCACTGAACTGATCCAGGCCAAAAATAAACTGCAAAATCTCAAAAAGGTAAGACACACAGGTTTGATGTACCCCATTGCTCCCATATTTAGTTAAGAACGAGCTTTTGGGAAAAAGGTTTCCTCAAGCCAATTTGCCCTTGAAAGAAAGTCCAGGGAGCCACAAGCAGAGTTGTTCCACCTTGCTGGGGAGACAGAATAGCAAAGAGGCCTTGAGTTCTTTGTTGATTACATGTAATAAGGTTTGCTTAATGTTTTCTATCCTGGCAAAAAGGACTGCATGCAGGCAAAACAGAGGGGGAGAAAACAACTCATACTTCTGTTCTTATTTGATTTTAGATGTAATAATTTTAAATAACTCACAGGGAAAATCTGCAGCACTGACAACACAAGGCTCTGTTTTAGATCTAAAGGATGTGATTAGCAATCTGGGTTTTAAAAGTATTTTAGAAGCTGAATGGCCCCATAGAAGGAATAGTGGTAGTCTGAGATGTAGTGATGATGTCTGAATTAGTAGTAATTTACAAGCTGAGGCCTGTTTTATGTAAATTAAAATGCAGTGTGTTTAGCTGCAAAGTTATCGTGCCTCTTATACTAATGTGGCAAATTCCCTAACTGCTGTGCCATAATATGGCCAGTTACAGACTCCATAATCCAATGTCTCCGTGATTTAGGAAGTGTTTAAGCTACACATTAAATTAAACACATAGGAGTTAAAAAGGAAGAGTTCACCCCTGATGCAGCCTGGTTAATCATCACTGAATTGATTCTGTACTAATATTTTGAAATGAGATTTGTTTTCTTGTTTTACTCAGTGTGTTAATTTGTTTAATTTATTAAATAGCTTGTGTCTGTTTCTGAAGAACGTAATTAATAATTAAGGTAATTAACCAAATCAATTCTGAGGTACCTTTGCTTGTATTACATTAAGAGGAACACATACATCTTTCCTCAGTTTACTATCCCTAATTAGTGTATGATAAATTTTGAATAAAATCTGAATTTCAGGGGGGTGATCTGAGGAGATCAGATTCTGGTATTCTTTCTGGTTTGGTTTAATCTATGAAGCTGCAGACATTAGCCAGAGCATCTGAGATCATGGAAATTAGGCTAATGCAATGAATGCACTTGATTTCAAATGATTGCACTACACATTCCAACCCTCTCACAGAAACCCATGAATAAAAATCTAATCTGAAATGACAGGTGGAGCATTTGCTCAGCTTTGGACAAGGCATGATTAAGGTGGTTTAGGATGTTGTCAGCCCTTGTAACCTTGTTAGATATAATCCAAAACTGGGAGAAAAAAAGAAAAGGGAAAACAAGGAAACACAGCAACCCCCTGACAATTGGTAGAAGGTTTGCTGCCATCTAATTTCAAATTATTGGGTTGTTTTTCTATAAAATCAGAACAGATGTAGGATATCTTCAGAGAGCTGTAGCAATAAGCAGGGAGACAAAAAAAAATTACCATCAGAAGTTAATAGGTTTTAAAATTCAATTAGCAATTGAATTGAAGAGAGCAAGTGTTTTCTAAAGAGTACTGCATCTCAGTCTTCAAAGACCTGTGATTATCTTGGAGTGTTATTTCTCAAGTCACTGAGTTCACTCTCACATTTGCAGTATATATCTTCATGTTTATCTAGGGGGTTTTTTTCATCTATTGTGTCTTTTCTGATGAAAGATCTCAAAACTCAAGGCAATCAAAACAGTGTTCTGGCTCCTGTTGCACAGGAATGAGATGCAGTGAGAGACCAGGAGAAAATTTCTCTTTTTTTTTTTTTTAATTCATCTTAAGCAATTCCACAGGGATAGAGCTTTTAAGAGCTAGGTAGAGGATTTAGCAACACATCATGCTCAGCTAAATCACAAATTGAATCCAAGAGCCTTGCTCAAACACGTGTAAGCCCATGTGAGGTTAGTGTAACCAAAAATAAATATAATCAAAACTAGTGCCTCCTCTCCTGGAAGCAAAATGAGCACGTGCTGTTCAGCCCTGGGACTCCTCAGAGCACGCATGGAAATGTCTGACGGAAGTCCAGCTCCTGAGGAATAGCTGCTCCAAGCTAAGCCTTGAGGCAGGTTGTGGCAAGTAGAGCTTTAAGCAGTAGAGCTCAGGGGCTGGATGTGCTGCAGTGCAAATAGCAGTTACTTGCGAATATGTGAAGTAGGCTTTAGAATTTGGGATTTTTTGGACTTGGATCCATAAAAAGAAGGGTCAAGGAGTGGAAAAAACAAAAAAAGCATGAATAGCACCTGTTCTGTTTGTTTGTTCTTCAGGAAAATAAGGGAAAGTTTGGAGTGCTTTCCTGTTAAACTCAACAACTTGATCCACACGCTGGTGCAGATGTCAGTGGGGAGTTCTGCAAAACCTCCAGCTCCAGAGAGTGTCCCCCAGGAATGGATGGTGCTGGACACAGAGAGGTCAATTGCAAGGGCCTCCATTCTGGGATTCAGCAGAAAGCCTGACCCTGTAGGTATTATCCTCTTTTCTTGCCCTCATTTGCCTGATCTTTAATGACACTTTTAAGAACTCATGCAGTCTCCCTCCTCCTTTACAGAGATGTGCTTGTGCTCCATTAAAAGCATCATGGGATGAATAGTGGTGCCATAAGCAGTGAGCTACCAGAGAGCAAAAGCACCAGGCAGACAGATATTTGCAGGGAGCCATTAAGGAGAGCAGTTCATTCCCTATAGTGAAAAATAAATCAAGAGCTAATTAAAGCATCCAGAAGGAAAGCATGGCACAAAATTAGGAAGCCTAATAGAAATTGGAGGCTGTTGTATGATGCTTTAATGGTGCACTATTAGTTTTCACACACTGCAGTGATCTTTCAGTGTTTGAGTTGTATGCTACCCAGGCAAGTTTCTCTTCCTGTGGAACAAGGACTGTGAATTACAAACTGAATTCTCTGGCACTTGGCACTACATTAAAGGAAGGTTTTTCTTTGTTGAAATCACCATATATATTTTCTTCTATTTTTTTAAAATTTTTTTTAAATTTGTCTCTTTGATAATTTCTCTGCTCTCTCTTTTTTCCCCCAACACAGATATACCTCATCCAGGTGGTGCAGACCTGCAACGTGGTCACCTTCGTGGAAAAATCATTCCACCAGTTCTCAACACTTCACAGCCATCTCCAGATGCAATTCCCATCTCATGCCCTCCCAGAGTAAGGCATAATAGTCAATGTTATTCTGCTGTTAAGTGGTTCTCTCTTCTGTGCTCAGATAAATCTGTGAGAATATTCACAGCAGATGTATTTTTAGAAACACAAAGGCTGAGTGACATATTCTATCAAGCCTCCTATTCAGCCCCAGAAGAAACTGAATCACAGGCCATTGTGGCAGTCTAAGTTTTATAAGTTATTGTTCATATTTTTAATGGGAGGAGAAAAGGGGAACAGCTTGGGCCTGAAAAAACTTCTCATTAAATTAAAGGGTAAGTGGTGTTGACTTAATTAAAGGCACCTTTAATAGTTTTTTACTTTCTTCATGATGTTTATCAAAACTCATGGCAAGATCCATATGTTAAAGTAATGTAGGGATGTTCACAGTGGGTCAGAACAGAAACCTCTGACTCTAGCACCATGATGATCATTTTTACAACATGGTGCACATTCCCCCAGCTGAGAAATGCACGATAATTTTATGTACTGCCCTGCCCCCTAGCCCAGTACTTTGTGCCTCACATAATTCAGTTTAACATCCTTTGAAAAATCTGCAGTCATTAGTTGGAATAATTCTGAATATTATTTTCTATCCACGTGCATGTCCTTTCCTGCTTTTCATTTTCTGAATGTTATTTCTTTACAGTTTCCTGGGGTAGTGAGTCTCATGGTTTATTTCTGCTATATATAAACCAGTTTTGTCTTATGTGATGCTTGTCCATGGCTTTAGAAATACAAGTGGTTTTTTCTACATATATCATATACCTTGTGCTGCATACACCAGTGTGTACATAGTCCTCTCTTAGAGGACTTTCTGACTCACCTGGTACAAGCCCTTCTTCAATCTCAATCTACAAAAAACCATAAATCTGGCCTAAAATACCAGCAGCTTACTTAAACCAAGCTGAGATTTAAGTGATAGGCTTGAAAAAGAGAAAGGCCTTTGGATTTGACATGAAGTAAATAGCCACAAACAACATGGCTAGAACTTAAAGTCCACGAATTTCAGATCCAAAGCTGATATTCCCCTGAGCTCATGAGAAGCATGCTGAAAAGATGGCTTAAGGCTAATTAATTCTACAGAATCTGTCTCCTGCCTGAGGGGATTTTATTGACTCCAATTTGATTCATTATGGCTTTCTCACATGAACTGGTCTGCGGCAGCTGGTGAGAATTGAAATTTCACTAAACAAATACTGAAAAAAATTGTTTGAATCATGGTTTTGATTTGGAGATATTGCAGGCTAACTATTGGGTTGTAAAATAAAATATTTAACAAGGACCTGTTTATGAATTTTTCCTGTGGTGAGCAGAGCCCTTTGAAAAGAAAATACATTTCTCTTCAGAAACACATAAACCTCAGAAACCCTGTAGTGAATTTCAAAAATAGTACTAGTCATTTCTCAGATAAATCTACCTCTGATAAAATCCTTTGCAACATTTTCACATCTAAAGAGCACTTCAGAACTCACTGAGGGTAAATCTGCATATACTGAGGCTGTCTCTAGGAGCTCCAGTGCTTTATTGCCACAATTCAGTCCCAGCAGTATCCTGTCACTGCAGGATCTTTCCCTAAGATTGTGTTTAAACAATTCATTATATGATGTTTTTTGATAGGCATGGTTTTTAATGTTGCAATTTTGTGTTGTGTTCTAACAAAACTTCATTAATTGGAGATTTTTCATGTATCCCAGATTTTATTCTAATAATGAAAACCTAATTATTTCTTTATAGGAAGTTATTACTGAAACTGCCATTCCATATCAGACCATTAGTCTGCCTGTGTGTTACAAAGCTCCAGCTCTGGCTGATGCCAGATGCTTCAAAGGAAGGAATAAGCCTTGTTCCACAATGTAATCACAAAATCAGTTTAAAAGTGTGTGATTAAAAAATTTAAATGTTTAATATTGCTAGAATAATTGGAACTGCTAACAGAAAGGACTTGGTTTCTGCTTTGTAATGATTCTATGGAATTGTACATATTCATGTCTCATTAGGAGAAAACAATGAAATATGAGAGTGCTTCATACAAGTGCTAAATACTCAGTGTATTGTAAGAAACAAATGGCAAAAGCTCAGAGTTCCCAGAATCTGAAATTCTGCTATTGACATGTATTCATCCAGCCCACATTTAAAAGTTAGAAACACAGCTGCCCTTGCACTCTAGCACCATCCTTCTCTTTTGATTTCTGAGAGGGTATTAATTGTGTTTAATTACTGTTTTGTAAAGTCTCAAAAATCTTTTCACCCAATAAAACCTGTAGGTGACATAACTGATACACAGAACACTGTTCAGACAAGTAGGAAATGCAGTGTTCTGTGTAGGACATTTGCACATGGTGCAAGTTTATATTTTTCTGATCTGTTTCAAGTAGATGCCTGTTGCAATAGGACACGACATATAATGACATGCATGCTGGCACTTTCAAGGTAAAAAGGAGAGAAATTTATTGACCTCAAATATATAGAATTCATAAAGAGACCCTGGATGGGAAGATGAAATTGCCATCTTTCCAATGACACTGGTCAAACTAACAGTTTATCAAATTTCTCCTCCTCCAGAAAAGAATGCAGAAATAATCATTATTTACCTAAAAGTGCACGAGAACTCCATTACAAAAATGTAAATATCAGAAGGCTTAGAAAAACTTAAAAATAACCAAAACAAGAAATGCCAAGTATCATGTTGGAAAGTTCACATTTTCTAATACAAGTGCACTCACAAGGGCAAGGCCACTGACAGCACAGCCATGATCCAACAAAGGCAAGAAGGGCTTTAAAAGAAGGATTCAGTGCCACCACAAGGTTCACATTGTCTTTCACTCCAGCAGTCACTGGGGCTATCAATCTGCAGTTTCTCTGTCCTCTGTTTGGCCACTGTGCTCTGGGTGCATCTTCTGAGGGTCTGCACTTTCCAGCCAGAGCCTCTCTTTGTGTTACACAGACCGGTTCATTTTAAGCTGCTTCCAAAGTGTTCTCCTCTCCCAGCCCTTGAAAGAAGCCTCTGTGTGCCAGATGACCTGGGCTCTATTTTTATCTGTGCTGTTCACATGTGTCATGAGCCAGGGTCGTGTCACTTGTCCCTCCTCATTGTGTGTCCTGCCGCTGTGATTTTGTGAGAGAAGAGTCTCCTCTTCCTACCCATCTGTGCAGCCCCCAAGTAAACCCTGATCCTCCAGTGCCAAGGGCAGGGACCAGCACAAGTTCATCCATACATGCAGCGTTCTGGTGTCATCCTGCTCTCTCTCTGGTTTAATCCCAGACTAAGTCACACAAGAGCTGAGGTTTTCCCTGCAGGATTTTGTAGCTGCCTTCCTAAAGGCTGGTCAAGTGTATCACAAACCCAACAGATCCTTTCTCTGAACCCTTCAGACACCTGTTGAGATCTGTTGGATAAAAAAAAGCTCCTAGCAGTGATGCCTCACATTTTAGCTTTTCAGATTTTGTGCTGCTTAAATGTGTGGGTCTGGGCTTCACATTCAGTGTTGCTGAGCTCTAAGCACAGAGCAGGGAGACAAAACAATTCCTGCTCCAGCTGGGCACCAAGGACAAATGATCCAAATCTCAGCCCAGGAGCACAAACACCGTGGGCTGGAGAGAGAAAAACAAGCAGGGTGGGACTGCCTGGGCTAAAGCTGGAATGGGACAATGAACTGCAAGGTGCAAATGGAGCAGAACTGATCCCAGGGACAGAGCCCGTGCCCAGCCGTGCATTTTGGGGCCATTTTGGTTCATCTTGGGTGCAGCCCTGGCTGGGCTCTGGTGCTGCCCAAGGTGGATGCATGGAGGAGATCCTTTCAATAAATCCCTGCTTTATTCTATAGCCCTGTCCAGCCTCTGTTCTAGGGCAGCCTTCACAAGGCATCAGCAGAAAAGTAAGAGGTTTGTAAACAAGGCACCCTTGACTATTTACAGTGGTGGTGGTAGGACATGAAATACAACCAGGTGAAAACTTCTACCTTTCTCTGTCTCATACATTAGAGGACATAAAGCATAATGTTAATTATGAATCCTGCTATTAGCAATGCGTATCACTAAACCCATTATGTGCAATTTAACACAGATAGCTTTTCTACAGATAGCTTTTCTAATGCTCCTTCAGCCTGGGAGATAAATACCCTTTGCCAGGGCAAGGTTAATACAAATTGATTATGTGTGTTGTTAAAACTCTAACCTTTTGACTGATCCAATATGCATTGTCTCTAAAATGCAAAGATGATTCAAATAAAAAATGGGAGGTTTTGACATTTTCAACCACCAAAGTATTTGAAAATTGACACAAGGCTATTCTATGCATGTGTAATTTATTTACTAACCCAAAATTAAATTCATCTTAATAAAAATTCAGCAAGAACATTACTTTTGCTATTTTTATTGTTATTGTTTTTTGCTGGGATTGATTTTGTTAGCGTGATGATCGTTTGTTTTCATAGATTATTTTTATTATGCTAGTACCTGAAATTAGATATGGGATCAGGGGCCTCCTCTGAAAACCTTATCTACACTCTAAATGGCTGAGGTAAAAAATGCAAGCAATGATATATTCATCAAATGTCACATTGTTGCTGTAAGGCTTTGGTGCTCAATGTGCTGTGGTAAGGATATGTCAACTCTGGGCTCAGATCAGAGATCTGTTGTGCAAAAAGGCAATGTTTTCTTGGGATCATAAAGGGCCACTTATTCAGAGCTATTTAGAGACCATAAAATGCAAAGTGCATTGTAGGATTTGTTTGTTTATTTACTTACTTTTAAATTAATTATTTAGAGAGAAAAAGTGCTTCAGTATGAGACAATTTAGCAGCAAATTATTAGAAGAAAGTGAATCACTGTAATATGACCCTGTAAGCATTTCTTCCCTTACCTGCAAAACCTCTTAGGAAATCTTGGCTTTCTTCTGTTAAGTACGGCTAGAAATATTTTCAGCAAATACAGAGTGCAAGAGTTCTGCTCATAAATATTCTTCTTTTGCAGGTTTCCCCACTCATGGCATTTACCTTTTATGGATCTTGAGCACAAGAGAATGAAGGATTTGAACCTCTATCTGAAGCAGCTATTAAGTGGCTCCAGGAAAGTGGCTAATGTGAGCATTTCCAGTATTTCTTTTATTTGCACATGATTTCTAGTAGCATTTTCCAAAAGATTCAGGAAATTTTCCATTGCCTGTTTTGAAAAAAGAAATATACATAAGTGACACATCTTCTAATGATGCATTTTGGGATGGAGCCATTGCAGCATTCATCAAAACTTAAGACAAAGACAAGTAGGACTGAGAAATAGTTTATTAGACCTGGCAGGGCATTTTTCAGAAAAAAAAAAACTTTGCTTCCTTTGCTGCCATCGAAAAGTAGTGATTCACTGAATTTTTGACAGTAAGGAGTAGGTTCTGAGAAATGTAACGTCTAAAAAAAGAAGTAAGCTTTGAAATATTGAAAAGTCTGATTTTGACAGTTGTTAAATGAAAAGTTCCATTCTTTCAGCCCAGAAATACCCTTTTCAAAATGTAGTTAACAGGTAGAAGAAAGTTTTGCAAACATAAGAACTAACTCAGAATGTTTCAATAACATCAGAATGATGCATTGAGTCCATTAAAACTGGTGTTTTCTCATTTTTTATTCATTATTGTTTTCTGAGGCTTGTGGTTCTCCTCCTGTGTAAAAATGGAGAGCCAAAATGGTAACAAACATTGACTTTTCATTGTCTGGGCCAGCACAAAGCCCTGTGCACCTCAGGGCCACAGCACAAACTGGGGCTGCTTGGGTTTCATAGGAGGAACAGCCAAAAGAGGGCATGAGAAGATGTTTGATCTCCAAAATCTCCAACATCTTGCAGGAGGGAAAAAAAAAAGTTTGCTGCCTAACTATATAACTTTCCCAGCTGTGACTTTTTAATGGAGATTAAGGAGGAAATTGTCTATATGCAAAACAAGCAGAAGTTTTCTTATTAATATGAATATAAATTCTGAGCCCTGAGTTGAAATTGAGATTTCAAAAGAGGATAAAAATCTTTTTGACTCACTGAGTTACATGTAATTTGGTAAGAGCAGCTGACTTGGATGCTTGGCTCCTTTGACTGACACTGCCAAATAATCTGCTCAGGTTTGGGTAGATTGTTGTGCAAGTAAAACAAAAGAAGTTTCACCTCAGCATGAGGAAAGACTTTTTACACTGAGGGTGGCGGACCCTGGAGCAGCTGCCCAGGAGGTCATGGAGTTTCTGTCCCTGGAAATTTTCCCAGCCCACCTGGACACATTGCTGTGTCACCTGCCCTGGGTGACCCTGCTGCAGCAGAGGGTTGGCCTGGATGATCTTCAGAGGTCCCTTCCAAGCCTGAGGATTCTGTGCTTCCTTTCTGACCCCCACATTAGGGCCATGGGTTTATTTCACATCAGTGCCCTCAGTCACAGCTGAGGAAAAGCTGATCTGAGCCTGTGACCCAGAAATGAAGAGCTCAGTGTCTTCTGCTGTGCTCTGGACTGCTGGGAGGTACAGGGATTTCCTATTTGGGCCAAGCACTGCTGTGCAGGAGTCTAATCTACAGCTGGAAAATTAGGCTGCTGAAAGCCCTGGGACAGTCATAAAAACATTTCCCAGCGGTGCACAGGAGCTCTGCTGTGCCTCCTGCTCCATGGGGCGGTGCTCAGGCAGAGCAGGATGCCTCGGCTCCCCCTCAGAAAACCCCAGTGTCCTTCCCAGGGTCCCACCTGCTCCCTTTGTGGGTCTGCAGCACACAGCCCTGGAGCTGGGACATCCTCCCATACAACACAACCATGGCTGAGGGGTTGGAGGTAACTTTGGCCAGATGTGCTCAGGGACAGGCACTGCTGTGGTTCTGAGACACAAAATAAGGCTGGTTTTAAGGAAAAGCTTTTTGGGAAGTCAGTGTCATCATCTGAAGTGTGCCATTATGAAAAACTTGGCTGCATTGCTTGAAAGTAAATTTTTTACTTAGTTACATACAGAACTTGAAACTTTTTTAGGAAGCTGTGCTGAGCACCTGAGCACCTCACCCAGTGATGACATTAATTAACACAAGATTTCTTGAGAAAAACATGCATCACAAAAACAAAGCTGCTTAGTAATGCATTATATTAATCAAGAATAAGATTTATTTATCTATCTATTTATGACTATCACCGTGTATTGATTCTGCTTCTGAAATGAAACCTTTAGGAACTGTTGAGAGTGAGGAATTTTCCAGGCTGGTACAGCCTGGAGGGCTGAACCACGAGGAGAAGAAAGCAATTTTGTACCTGTGAGGGCTGTGCTGGACTTGGAGGGCAAGGGATAAGAAGCAGAGGAATGAATGAGCAGATTGTTCCCATCCTAAAGTGCTGCTGCATGTGGGAAATCATCTTGCTCACCCCCATGCAGCTAACCTGCAATTCTGGATGATAACCTTTCAAGTTATTGATACTCCATAAACATTGAATCATTATTTTTGCCTCAATATGCTTCTCCTGCTGGGAGGTGGGAGAAATTTAGAAAATACTGACGTGTTCTGACCCACTTAGAACAAGGAGAGCAGTTGGTGGGTAATTTCCTTTGTATTCCCTTTCTTTTACTTTTCACTTTGATATGACTCTTTTAAAAATATCATGGTGTTACCTTGGCTTTAGCCTGAGCCTCCAAGCTAGGAGGCTTTCTTGGTAAAAATAAATGCAATTATTTTGTCCCTTTCCATGCCTATGACAACTTTGCTGTTGTCATGGGCATGGAAATTTGTCCTTTTTCTCAGAATGTTAAGGAGCCTGGCTGAAACCATTGAGTGAGTTGTCAGTTTTCAAGCATTATCAAACTGTCATTCCTATGAAATAGTAAAACTATATAGGAATAAATAATTAATTCATAAATTTGTGAAGAAATCTAGGAAGATCAGTTGCCTGTAGAACAGGAGTCCTTTTACTTTCTTTCTACAGTCATTTATGCTGAATTGTAGATGTAATTTATTGTAGCTGTAGAGTGGGCTGCAGTATTGTCTGAGATAGGGAGAAGAGCTTTTATTTCATTATAAAATACCCTTGTAACACTCGTAATCTCTGTAAACACATTAGCCTAAATGACTAGGCTCCATTTTCTGCTCTGAAGAATTTAGTCCAGTCCACACAGGACTAAACACATGCTTGGTTCTACCAATAAAGTAATTATAAATCCTGGAAATGAAGAAAGAATCAGATTACATCCAAATTCCTTCCTCAGTCATGCCTTAAGTGCAAGCTTTTTAGTCCACACTAAGTTCTGATTATGAAAATTTTATTATAATTGAGAGTAAGTCAGAATGTCACTGACCTTTTCTGCTAAATGGTTGGAATGAAGGAGGAGAGGTGGAAAGCAGCTGCCTTCTTATTTGCACTGGAGCTCAAATGGAATTAAATGTTTCTTCAAACCCTTCTTTATTGAACAGAAACTTTTTCTTCCTCTATCTGTGAATTTTAGTGCCAGATCCAGTAAGTGCAGAAACATCAGTTGAAGGAATATTTGTTCTTGGACCAGTTTAAATGCTTGAACATGCTCATGTCCATCTCTGTTCAAGGGGATTTTTTTTAAGTCTATGATTTACTTTAAGCATAAGCCTCACTTAGTTACTTTTATTGAAGAATTGCCTAGAATAGGAGTAGTTTTTTAAATTCAGGTTAGCAGTGTTATTTATAACTCCCTCACCAGACTGTGTTCATGAACAAGCTGTATTCATTGCATCAATCACTAACATGCAGAAATTGATGAACCTTCATTGTCAAACTGAGTCAATTAGGACAGGATGAAAAACAGTTTTCTGCACCTTTTTATTTTATATTTTTTAAATTTCATTCTACTTGTCCCAAACCAGTGTCAGTATTTCTGATCACAGCAAAATAATATTTCATTTTGGGCCAGCTGCACCACTGCTGACTGACTCATCACCTGCATGCACTGAAATACCTGAGTTTTTTAGATCTGCAGGGCAAAATTCTCATCAGTCTTCAGAATCTTTGAGGTTTTGCTCCATTAAATGGTAAAACAACCTGGTGATATCACCAATAAGAGGTGAAGCATCAAGAAATACTGAACTGAGTGTTGGTATAACATGGAAGAGGACAAAAATATGTTCTCAAAGCATAAGTCCAGTCTGTGACAAAAGACAGCTGCTGACCATTGCTGTATTTTTCTGTTTCACTCAATTCCAGCTGAGGGATGGGCTGGATGGTGGCCGCAGCCCAAATCTCATCCCATAAATTAGGGCTGCCCTGGTGGCTCCTCATTTTGTGGCTGTATCATAGGAGGGTTGTGCACTGCCTGGGGACACAAAATCAAGGTAAGGCTGCATTAATTGAGTCTGGTTTTGGCCCCAGTGTCAAACACAACAGTAAGTGCAGGTACACAGTAGGTTAGTCTGTAAAAAAAAAAATCTTTTGGAGTTTGAATATGTAAGATTTTCTAAGTATCCAAATTAACAGAGGACTTTGGAGGTGAAGTAAACCTTGTGCAGGCAGGTAAGCAAACAGTGATGGTGTTTCAGCTGTGGATAGGTTCTATAAACAGCTTTATAGTGACTTATAGGCTTTGTAAAAGGACTTTAAAGAGGATGTAAATGGGAATGATTGTAAATTACGTTCACTCATTTTCAAGCACGCAGTAAAAACCAGGCCCACAGCATTGTTCTAGGGTGAATGATGTTTTACACTGTAAAAGTAATCAATTTGATAAGAGCTTGCCATATTTCATTTCTGTTTTATTCACTGGTGTTCCTTGGGATTTGCAGAGTTGAAGAAAAAGCTCCCACATGCCTGTGTGGGGGTACATAAAGAGGGGGAACAGAGTGCTCCCAGGGTGTGTGGGTCCCTTGAACTCCACCACTCTCTGTTCCTGTGGCAGGGCACCCAGCAGAGCCAAAATGGGAAGGGTTCAAAGTGCTCTCTCTTCCCCTGTCCTTTCCTCAAGTTATAACAGCTGCACCAAGGTCAGCTTTTTTTGGTTGCTTTCTTTCCTGCTGATTCCCCATCCTGTGACAGTATAACAGGAGCATGGGTGTTCTCTGACCCCAAAGCTACTCCAGCACAGCTGAAAAGAAAGCTGGAAGCAGAGGGGAGGCTGCTTTTCTTTCTATTGAAATTAAATCTGCCTTGAAACCTGACTGTGTTTCACAAAGTGAACAGTGATTTTCTGGTTAGTCTCTGATGGAGAGCAGCCGACAAATTCTATCATGCTGCAGTAGTGCAGGGCTGGGCCAGCCCCCCAAGGGCACTGAAATATTTTTATTTCACTTGTATCCTATTGCAAGTAAAGGTGGAGTTTGTGCCTTTTGAGTTAAATGGCTGAAAAAAGGTCTCTGAGTTCCAGATGGACCCCACAGACCAGTCTGCTCCTGTTTGGGCTAATGTGCTGAGTGACCTGCAAAAAATCAGAATTACCTGTTGAAGATTATTGTGTCATTAGGTAAGAATGCTTGGACAAATGATAGGATATCCTAAGTGTGCAATATTTCAGGGAATTTCCCTTTGCTGATTTAAAGGTAAGAGTCCCACGGGGGAAGAGAGTGAGGGAGTGCTTTGGTCATCCTCAGTGCCTTCCTTTCTGCCCAGACCATCACAGGGTCTCTGAGATTGTCACCCACTGTCACTTCTGGGTAACAGAAGCTGCTGGGTTAGAAATGGACTCTCTGCACCTTCAAACAGCTCATACGTGTGTTCAAAGCTCTGATAGGTCTGGTTTTGTTTAGCAGTGTGCTTGGCTTAATTCTGTCACATTAGCTGGGGTGCAGCTGCTGGAGGTCTCAGATTCAGGAATCTCCTGAAAGTTCAGTGTGGTTTTTGGAGGTTTGCTGAAAAAGACAGTTACACATTTTCTGGTGGAAATCTAAGTGGTGGAGCCCTGCAGCAGGCACATTAGCACAGGTCAGGGGGAAAATACTGTCTTTTAAATATCACTGTGCAAAATACTTCTCTGCACAAACAGCCAGGAGACACCCCAGTGCTTCTGAAGCACCTTGCCCACACAGCCTGCTGCATCTGCTCCTGCCACACGAGCTGCTCCATTCAGTTCTTGCATTCCTTCTGCAACATCAGCCTTGCTGCTTCCCCTCAGGCTGCTTTTGAGTTTGATGGGCCCACAGGGTCCATGCCAGTCCTGCCCATGCCTGTTGTAAGTTCTGCACATTTCCACCCGTGTCACCGTGACGTTTTCTGAAAAATCCCTTTGCCAGGATTTCTTCTCCTGGGAAGTTGGGAAGCTTCAGAGAAAAATGTAAATAATAATTATCTGATTGTTTCTCCTGTGTTTTGCTGCTTTGGAATGTGGTAGGTTAGTCTTTCATTGGTTCCATGTGAATTGTTTTAACTTAATGACCAATCGCAGTCCAGCTGTGTCAGGATTCTGGTCAGTCATGGGTTTTCATTATTCATTCTTGTTTAGCCTTCTTTGGTATAGTTTTAGTGCATAATTTCTTTTAATATAATATCATAATATAATAAATCAGCCTTCTGGGAACTTGGAGTCAAATTCTCATCTCACCTCATCCTGGGGACCTCACAACACCACACTCCTGTACTTAAACCAAATGTCCTTTTTTTTTTCAGCCTTCTCTCCGTTAGAATGGGATTTTGGAATTATTGCCTGAAACAATCTCTGCATCTCCTATTTACAAACCTCTTTCTTTGTATTATTTGTCTTGCATTTCCATTTATTGCAGAAAGAGTAGGTGGAGAGGAAGCAGAAAAACACCATGCTGCTCAGAGTGGAATTTTTTATTTCTCTTTCAAGTCAGTTTGTGTATCTTTATTTCTACCTCCTGCCTACTTCTCTCAAGATCTTTGAAGTCATAGGGCCACTTGAGTTTCTCTGCTTATTTTCAGGCTGTCAAATAAAGGCTGGGCTGCCAAAAATATACTCTCAACCCTGGAGATTTCCTACACTTGGGACTTGTGCTGAAAGAGCAAGGGAAGGTCCCCTGGGGAATAACTCTGCTGTTTAAAGCTGCTGGAAGCTGTGGCAGGTGTATGGGCATTCCCCTGTCAGCTGTCTTCATCAGATGGGAGAATAATTACTCGTGCTCAGTACAGGCAGGTGTATTGGCAGTCCACTGCTAATAACTTAAGGATCTGTCATTCAATTCAAGGAAAACAATTATGTTGGGTTTTCTTTCTTTTCTTCTTTTTTATTTTTGTTTTAAAGAATATATCAGTGTGGGAGGAAAAACTCCAAACAGTAGTGAAAAATGAAAGGCAACTGTGAAAATAAACCAGATTTCTAAATCTTATCTCTCCACTGAACATACACATCTGTTCCTCTGTCTGCTGTAACCACATGTTAACTCCTCACTAGCTGCTTTTTTCACTACCTTGTTCCTTTCCTTTTTTCCTTACACAAATTATGCTACATCTTGTCAAATTGAAGGAACACAAATACTACTTGAGGTACATCTTGCTGATAAGAGACATATTATTTTCCACTGACTGGAAAAAAACAATGGTGACATTTTAATGCTGGAATCTGAAAAGTCTCTTGTCCTACCCATTCATTACAGTGTCAGTCCATGTAACATCAGCATGAATATAACAATTCTAACCCTCTTAAAGAATGGCCATTCTGAAATATGGCTTTATGAAAAGCCAATAAAATGCAATTACTGTCCAGCTTTGATTCAGAGTCATAAGAGTCCATTTAAGAATTCACGTTTTTATTACCTTGCAAAATACTGAAATCTGGGGATTTGGTTTATTGTTTTAATTCTCTCCAGCTGAAGGTAACTACCTGTTATATATGTTCACTAGAGCAGCACAGGTCAGTACATAAAAATAAAAGTTATAGCAGTACATAAGGTGGATTACTCTTTTAAACAGGAGGGTGAAATACGATCATGCCTTTCACTCCCTGTGGGTTTCTGGTAGGATTTAACAGTGTATGGAGCTTTTCAGCACAAGTGTCCATTAAGCTGCTGTGGGAGGGAGGTTTGCACAATGTCTGAGCCTCAGGGAGGCACACACGAGGTAGGGTGCGTGGGGTCAGCCCCGTGCCAAGGGCAAGTGCCCTGCTGGTTACACAGAGCTCAGAGTGGAGATGCTCTCCTGCCTTTGTTTCACACTGGGGCTGCTCTGTCACAGCTGCTCAGACAAATCTTGAGCTGCTGGACATGGAGCACGAGCACAAATCTGTGGCCCCACAGTGTGGGAATCCAAAATCAGAGGGTTTTGGGAAAGCTGCAAAAGGCAGGCCTCAGAGACAGCAGAACTGTGATTGGAGCTAAGCAGTAGCCATGAGATTGGTCAGCAGAAAAATTATGTAAGGAGTAGAAAAGTAAGGACAAATAGAACAATGGTAGAATAGTGAACACTTGTCTAGGATAACTCCCTAAGCTACAGAAAAGTTTATCTAGCGAGATATTAGGAATTTCTAAGCTTAATAATGGAGCTCTGTGAATTGTATCTTAAGGTTTACAAGCAGGTATTGTATTTGAAATCAGCAAGCATTGTTTTAACCAAAGACACATGTGCTTATGGTGGTTGGATGGAACTACTGTCAATGTGCTTTTGCTTTGTGTGATTGGTCAAAAAACTTATAAAGTGAGTTGTAACATTAAATTCTTGGTCTGCTGCCTGGGATGTGAGCTGGTGGCATCTTCTCATTGTCATCACCATGCAATGAGGCTGATGCTGGAAAATAAAGCAGCTCAAGGCACATTCCACATCAGTTCTGTCCTGTTTGTGATTTATACATACACAGATCTGTGGCCCCACAGCTCTGAAGTGTGTTGACAGAAATGAACCTGGTAGGCACCAAAGCAGCATCCCTGAGAGTGCTAAAGGACACCTTCATCATCCTCCCTGTGCCACAGCAGAAGTCACTCCTGGGTTCCTAGTTCATGATCAAAAGGGAAAAGGTCCCTTTTATTGCTAACTGTAATATGTGCATTAAAAATTACCAGTGAGCTTCTTGGAGGGGAATGATACAAGGAACAGAGTGCAACATGTGATATTACCTACAGTGTTTGTGTTCTCTTTCAGAATGAGCTTGTACTCAGCTTCTTCCTCAACTGGTCCAAAAATACCTCGGCAGAACACTCATCATCTCTGACCTTAGGTATGTGGATTGCCAATCTTATTTCTTTTCTTAGAAATTATAATCCTTGATAGCTTTATGCAAAGGTGAGTCTAAAGTTTTTAGATGGTTTGGGGTTTCTAGGATGTAAGGATACCAGCAAATAATTCCTGATTTCTCAAGGTCTTTGAAAATGTGTTACTGACGTCACCTGTAGATTTCTTTCTCAAATTCCTTTCAGCCTTGCTTCATTTCTTTTTGAATAAACATGCTTATATGCAAAGCAAAAGTTCATTTACACAAACTGTGGCAAGTTTCTGGTTTTACAAAACAAAATATTCAAAGATTTTGGAGGAAAGGATGTGAGTCATGACAAAGCACAATATGTGCTTGCACAAGCGAAGAAAATCAGGGGTGACTTCTAAAGTAATTTTCACAATGAGTGGAGCAAGTAAATAACAGAACATTATGTTAATGCTTAGGCATACATTATTAATGACTGTGGTAATTCACTTCTAGCTAAATGAGATGCTGCACTCTTCCCTTAGCCTATGTAAATACTTAACCCATTTCCCTCTTCTGTCCAGCCCCTAATTTAATCTAATTTCTGACATTACAGCATTAAGAGCCAAAGCATAAACCATAAAAAGTAAACTCTGAATGTTTATTGTCTTCCTCTGCCTTAGTTCTGCACTGATAATAATCTTCTGTACTCAGTTTTTAGGCAAAATAAAACCTCATAAAGGAGTCTGCAGCTGCACTCTGCACCACAACAATTCAGCTGGTTGTTATGTGCTCCAAGTGATAGGATGGTTTCCAAGATCATCAGTTTTCCACATTTCAGAAAGGATTGTATCTCTGCATATTTAGTTTGCATGTCCATTAAGTTAATTTAATCCCTCTGCAGACAGAGGTTTCATTATCCCTTTTGCTGGGACCAGTTTTTTTTAATCCATCAGAACAAAATAAATCCCATTCTGGCTTCTCAGCCTTTGGAAGATTCCCCCTGTGTGGAGTTTATTTGATTAGGGCATGCCATTATCATATTAAATCAATTATGACTATTGAAAGTTACTAATGGTTGCTCTAACTTTTACAAAGAATCAGGGAGATAATGCAAAGATGTCCTAGGTGCTAGGAACATGTAATCTGGGTCCGTGAGCTGCATCTCTCTGTCTTTAAGCAAAGTTACAGATGTCAGAGGGAGCTGAGGCACAAGGTAATTAAAGCCCCAAGGATAATTTTGATATGTCACTAACATTCAGCTGCCTAATTGTTACAGAGAATCTGGGTGTGAAAGTTTTATGCAAAATCATTAACTGAATCTGTAATAAAATTGAGAAATAACTTGCAACATCATAATTCCTACAGCAGTGTCCTGAGCCAGTGTAGTCTGAAGGATGAGCTGCCACTGTCATATTTTCTGGAAAAATCCCTTTGCCGGGATTTCTTCTTCTGGGAAGCTGAGAAGCCTTAGAGAAAAAGGAAAACAATATTATCTCATTTGCTTCTTCTATGTTTTCCTGCTTTGGAATGTGGTTGGAGATTGTTTATCCAACATGTGAATTGTTTTGACTTAATGGCCAATCATGGTCAGGCTGTGTTGGGACTCTGGAAGCAGTCATGAGTTTTTAATTAGTATCTTGTTAAGCTTTCTGTATCCTTTCTCTATTCTTTAGTATAGTTTTAGTATAGCATTCTTTAATATAATGTAGTAACATAAAATAATCAATTAGCCTTCTAAGAACATGGGGTCAGATTCATCATTTCCTTCCTGCCATGGAGGACCCCGAAAATACCACAGATGAGCCATCTATTTTTGTTGTCAGTGACAAAAAAATGAAGGAAGAGAATGAAGAAACAGAGGCAAGATGTGTTTGGTGGGTGTTTGATGAGAGCTGTGTGTCAGGTAACCCAGTCTGTTCCTCACTTTGTAGTTGCTCCTGGTGAGGGTCACAGCATGGCTGGGGAAGATGAATGGGTCTCTGGCCTCCAGCAGTGAGGTTACAGGGGAATTGGATTTTTTCCTATTCAAGAACTCTGCCTTTTAAAGTTTGGATGCTTCACTTCTAGACTTAGGACAAAACCTTTGTTTAACAAGTGTAAGCAAACAAAACCCAAACTACAAACAAAAGGAGCTCTCTTTGGTCTAGAAAATTGATCACTATAATTTACTGATAAACCAGCAGTGCCCATGAGGTCCAAACAATGAGTTTAGACCTGGTAAAAACAGGGAAAAAGAATCATGGGCTGGGTTGCTCTGGGTACTGCAGTGTTTGTGGTGGAAGAGCTGCCATGCATGTGCTGATTGCCCACCTGAGAAATCTACTGAAACACACACACATATTTCTATTTTTATTTTTCTCTATTCTTCACCTCACCTTTGGAGTCAGGCTGCTGCCATGCCCCAGAGAGCTCACTGAAATCTTTGTTCCATGGCATTCTGCACACTGGTGGCATCCACAGGAGACACAGGTCCAGCCAAGGTGCCAGGTAGCAAACAAGGAATTGCTGAGAGGAGCAAAGAGGCCCCAGAGGTTCTTGCTGGCTGAGGGTGCCCAGAAACCCTCTTGATTTTAGGTAAACCCTGCGGTAATGCCATAATCAGTCTAGGGAGTAATTAAATTCACTGAGCCTGCAGGTTGCCATGAATAAAAGCATGAATAAAAGCATAGATTTTTTTTCCCCACAAATTTCATTGCTTTCTGAGGTTATAGGGGTCCTAATGTTTGTCTCTTTTGAAAAATAACTCACGTTTAATATGGGCTGCAGCTTTCCATGGGTCTGGTAGCTTCTCTCTCAAGCAAAAGAAATAATCTCTCTCTTGGTTAGGATCAATGTGAAATAAGATTAATGCCCAATAGGATCAGGTTATGAATTTTGATCAAACCAGCATCTTTCTCTTACACTGCTATAATTTATAAATGTTGTAGGTAATTACACTTACTAAGGTAAAATAAAAATTAAAATTTATGAATTTGTACTCTGCTCCCAGCAATAGAGAGATTAGAAATCAGTGTTAAGTTTACTTGACATGAATACTGGATCAGTATTCCCAGTGGGGTGAATTCTGAATTATCCTGAACATTGTCAGCATTTCATTATACCAAGCTCACTACAAGGCAGTGAGAGCAGATATCAGGAATGATTTCACAATCAGACTTTTATAAAAAAAAGGAAGGAAGAAAGAAAAATCTACCAAAAACATTTCAATATCAAACTTGTTTCTTTTTCTTGAGTTTGTATCTCCTGAAAATATTAATCATTCAGGCAGTTTTGGTTGTGCTCTGGGCTGTAACACTGCACAGCCCAGCCCCAGTTCTGGCATGTTTAATCAGTGCTCCCTGTGTTTGTATGAGCCTCTGGCCTTGAGGTGCAGCAGGGGAACAGGTTCAGTGTCCTTGTAAAGGGACATCCAGGGACATTGTAACGTGGCATTCCCCTCCATGCAGAGCCACAGTCCTCATGGACACTCCCTGAGCAGAAAAAGGCTCTCTTGCTCATGTCCCACAGTGTTTTGATCTTCTGAAGCTGCTCACTCGTGATGTAAAGCTTTTGCCACAAGTTGCCTTCCTGGTTTAGTCACATCCACCCATGAGCATCTCTGGCTGGCTTGGAGGACTGAAGCCCTGAGCCAGTTGGTGTTTTTAGGGTTAGCTGTGTGAAATCAGGGACTTAGGAGGCTGTAACCTGAATTCTACATTTCCATTTGCAAATTCAAGGCAAAAGGACTCACAGCTTAAGAAAAAAAAAAAAAGGTAAAGTGGCTTTGCATGAAAAAAAAAAAAAAAGGAGGAATTGAAGTTTATAGGCTTCTTCTTAACCTGGAAAAGACTCAGCATTGTCTGGAGTCCCTCCCTGTTCCTATTTTCATAACAGAAGAAATGAAATAAGGCACAGTCTTGCCAAGTGATTTGTCAAGGTTCATAAGGGAGAATAACAAATGAAGAGCTGCTACACACTGTTCTAAGTCCCAGCTTAGTGATTTCTTCCTGAGATTTCAATTTTTCAGGAGTCTTTCAGGCCCTTCTCTAGTTAGGATGTGATTAAAAATGTATTTCTGTAGTCTCTAAAGGGGAGAAATTGGAGATGGATTCATATTCTGAAATTCCACTCCAAGCATCATAAACTCAGTAGCATTGGTACAATTATATTATGGCAGTTGCATGTACACACTGTATTCATACTAATTCATTTGAGCTCCCTTCCTTGGGATAAATGGCAATTACACTGTCTCTCTGGCTGTCAGCAGTGCATGGCCCCACTGTCACTGTGTCTGCTGAGCAGTTATTTTAGGCTCTGTTTGCTCCAGAGGTTGCACGTTTGGGTTCTTTAGAAAAATACACCCGACGTGGCTTGTCCATTATAACACCCCCTGTGCCTCCTCCTCCTCAGCAACACAGGAGAGGCTGAGCAGAGGGAATTGGATTTCTGGTTCTCACCACCCTGATTGTGAGAGCTCTGGGACATGTGTGGGGAGGAGAGGGCAAGAGTGAGACAGGAGTGCCCATGGTGCCCTGTGAAGACGCTGGGCAGAGTTAAAGAATAAAGCAGGGATTTATTCAAAGCATCTCCTCCATGGATCCACCTTGGGCAGCACCAGAGCCCAGCCAGGGCTGCACCCAAGATGAACCAAAATGGCCCCAAAATGCACGGCCGGGCACGGGGTCTGTCCCTGGGATCAGTTCTGCTCCATTTGCACCTTGCAGTTCATTGTCCCATCCCAGCTTTAGCCCAGGCAGTCCCACCCTGCTTGTTTTTCTCTCTCCAGCCCACGGGGTTTGTGCTCCTGGGCTGAGATTTGGGTCATTTGTCCTTGGTGCCCAGCTGGAGCAGGAATTGTTTTGTCTCCCTGCTCTGTGCACAGAGCTCAGCAACACTGAATGTGAAGCTCAGACCCACACACTAAAGCAGCACAGAATCTGAAAAATATAAAAGCTAAACCTGAGGCATCAGCCAGGTCTCTGATGAGGTTGAAAGGGACACAAGGGTCCCTCCTACCTGGGTAGCTTATACTCCCAAAAGCCTCCTGTGTCAGTGTGTGACTGAGTGATGGCTGTTCTCACATTCCCATCATCCTTTCCCACTGCCTCTGCTCCTCACAAGACGTGTTTCTATTTAAAGAATTAATCACCGCTCTATTGTCTTGTCTCATGTTGTTATGTCACCCTGCATTGGCTTCAGGGCTGGAGTGTCAGTGGCAGATCCCAAGGTGCAGGAAGGAGAGCAGGATTTCTCTGGCTGAGGTCTCCAGCTCAGCTCTGAAGGGGAGGTGGGAGAGCAGAGCCCAGCTCCTGAGACATCCTCATTGTGTTGTAAGCTTAGCAGGATTGAGTTCTTGCTTCTTCAGGTAAATTAGTGGGTGTAATACAGCTTTTGTCTAATTAAATGTAGCCCTTTTTGGCTGAGTAAAACCAGGCAACCTCACCCGGGCTGTCTTTGGTGACCAGGTGGTGAAAAATGGCTCTTCAGCCCCTGCTAAGGTGAAACACTGCAAAAATAAGGAGGTCAGACAGATATTGAGGAGAGGTTGTGCTCACCATTAGCTGATTTGCAGTGGTAAAAGGCATCTTTCCTCTGCTATGCCTCCCTGCTGTCTCTGCAGGGCAGGTAAAGCACATTACTTTACTTCCCCAGCTTCAAGGACACACCTTTTGGCAGTGCAGACAGCTGGCTCGGTGCCTCCAGCAGAAAGGTGGAACAGGATTTGCTTAGTCATTTCTTCCACAATATGAGACTGATTCTTCCTGCTTGGAAAATGAAAAATGCCCTTTTTTCAGTGGGAATTATATCAGACTCCTAAAGTGCCTCTTAGTAGAAAAATCTATTAAAGCAATGGGTTGCATGAAAACCAGCCTGGAACACACAAAGTACAGAATGAGGAAGGGAGAATTTATACTTAATGTTGTTTCTCTAACTTGGTTTGGAACTGGTCAGGAAGCTTGCTCTTTTTTTCCCATTTTTTTTCTTTTTTTTTTTCCCTTTTTTTCCTTTCTCTTGGGAACTGGGGGAAAAAGAAATTACAGTGTTTTTAAGCAGACAGAACTGCAACAATAGTGAATAGTGTCATCAGTGACTGCCAAAAAAACTGCCCCAATTATTTGTCACTCAAGCATAAATTTCCCACTAAACTTCAGATTGATGGCAATTAGTAAACAGAAAATCTCACTGGCAGTTACCAATCAGGAAAGAAAAAGAGCCCTGCATGTCAGAGCACTTTCTTCCATCACACTCCTTATCCATGTTTTCTAATTTCATCCCTGATTTAAGCACACAGCAGGTTTTTATATGTTAGCTAATGTGTATTTCAATATTTCACAGATATATTTCCTCTAAGCTGTTAACTAAAAATCAAATCTGGCCTTTTTTAGGTCCTCAGTCAGCTGGTGAGAAGCCTGGAGTACAACTGGTCATGTCCTATGAAAACACCTGCCTGACAATAATGCTGAAACACATGAGGAACCTCGTGAGTATTTTTACCAGAATGTGTAACCAGTAAGTCCTTGCATTTGCAGAGCACTGTGAAAACATTAATCTTCAAACAGCCTTTCTGGGATAACTAATTTCAGCTCAAAGCAATGATAGTGCTGTTCTGCCACGATGTAACAGTTGTTTTTTCCCTTGGAGCTCACTCAGTATGGTTGCAGGTGTGAGACAGATAGAGGAGCTGGGTTTCCTTAATGGCTGCTAATGGCCTTTTCCAAGAGAACCAATTTTGATTCTGTTTTGGCCCTCTCAGCTGACACATTTTGATAGCAGTCACACATAAGGCACAGTGCAGCAGCAGTATGATTCTTTGCAGCATGTCAGCCTGGCACTGGGGATTGATCATCCAGACATTTCTTTCCAGTCCAGCCTGGCTGTCTGTGAGCAGGGAAGAGCTGAGCAGAGGGAGCAGAGCTGTGTTTGAAGGAGCAGTGTCATTTGGAGGCACGATGCTCAGCTTTGTAGCACTGTCAGGAGGCTGGGAGGTAAATGTTGAGGGTTCCTGGAGCCAGGCTGCAGCAGGGGAAGCTGGCAGGGCTCCTGCAGCACAAGGCAGGTGGAATTGGCTGCTGAGGGTGGTGCAGAGATGGAGCTGGGGCTGTGTGTGAAGTGAGATCTCTCACTGGGGAGCGTGGGGGCTGCTCCATCATGAATTCCCTGCCTGGATGTGCCCTTGGATTCCCATGGCTCACGTCTCAAGCCATGGCTGTGGCAAGGGAGCCTTTATTTGTCTGGCTATTATTAGCTGTTGTGGGCTCTCAGTGCACACCCTGTGCCACCTCCATCCCAAACTGGGATGCAATCCCTTTTCCTAAATGGGGCCAAGCTGAGGGGCTTGTGTGAGCACCAGCCAGCAATAAAATGAGGCTGATGGTTTAATTAGTGGTATGAGGCACATGAGGCTTACACAGCTCTGACTGTTCTCTGCTGGCCACTCTGGCTTCTCATTTGCAATTCAAGCATCTCCATTCCGGTCTATAACATTCAATACATCTCTGTCCTGAGATTTGTTTTCTATGTCCTGTGTGCCACTTTGACAGGTGAGATCAGCCTCTGCTGACAGGTCCAATTTATACAAACTTTATCTTCAGGATGTAGCAAAAGACCTTCTTTATTTTTTTTTCTGTTGAGCTTTTTAAATCTAAGTGACTTTGATAAGCTTCTGATAAATTTCTAATTGGTGGGAGGGCCATATTTAAGTGATTGCCATTCTGATGATATCCTTGGGACTTCAAGCAGGTGATGTGGAGATGCACACAAACAATTTGCAGGTGTTGGAATTAGTCTTCCTTTCTCCTTGCTTCCATCATTCTAAGTGTGTAGGCTCCTAACTGTGTTCTTAGGCAGTTCCAGCCATTTAATTAAATTAAATTACAGCACAGATAGCTCTGTAGTGCAAACATAAAATCCAGGGCTCAATTCACTTCATTATGGAAAGGGATAGTACAACTTGAAGTTACTGTGTTTCTTTTGAAATAGGTAATTTAAATCAAGTAATTTAAATCAGGTAATTTAAATCAAACCCATTTTAGTGGGTTTGAAGAGAAGTGGTAGGAGTCCTGTTCAGCAAGGCTAACAATGATTCATGACTCCAAAATAAGGTCTTTGCTGTGGCAGCCTAACTTAGGCCATCATGGTTTTAAATTCTGGGCTTCCAATTCCTTCCTTCCACCTGGCCATCCATCCCTTGTCATCTGATCTGAAATATGAAATTGTGCTTCAGGGTCCCATGATACTGCACTGCCTTCAGACCAGGAACCTCTAATAGGAAGGTTCTTTATCCCATTAGTGATCTTCTCAGCTTCCCAGCCATATAAATCAATCTTTCTAATATGCTCTCTTTTCTTTTTCCTTCTCTTTCCTCTTCTTTTTTTTTTTGGTTGAGCAGAACGGGGATTTTAAAAGTATGCCAAGATCATATCTTATTCAAGACATGTTAAAGCTATTTCAGGTATAGTCAGTCTTTTGCAGAGTCTCACTAATTATATTTTAGTGCTTCATCTGTGCAGAGATTACTTTGCTATCTTGTTTTATTTCATAATTTATAGTAAATAATTTTTGTTCTGCTCTTCCCTATTTAATTTATCTCTATAAAGAGATTTTATGATGTGTTCAGATGCGAAAATAATTGTAGTGGGCCAAATTAATCCCAAATGGAGCTTCACAGAACTGACAGGAATTGTGATAGAGACTTTTGATCCACGGAAATAAATTTGATTTAGTGTTTGTGTGAGTTTATTTCTAGGAGTTTTAATAGGAAACCTAGATCCTGCTGTGCAAATCCTATATTGATATACAATGCACAAGAGGCTCCCTAAGGAGCTGGTATTTTTTATAGCCACTCTCAGGTGTCACAGAGGTTCTGTAGAGGAGGAAGCCAGAGGACTGCAGTGCCATAACTTTGCAGGAATTTCTCCTGAAGGAAATTTGCCCATTCACGTGGGGTGTGATGGAGAGAAAATGCAGCAGCAATGGAGAGAGCCCTGGTGTGAGGACTGGTTAGTGTGGGTGCCTGCATGGGCCCCTGGGATCTGAGGCATCCAGAGTGCCCAATTTGCTGCAGATGCACAACTCTCATCTCTGATACAGCTTCAGAGTGTCCTCTCCCTCCCCACTGCAACATTTCAGTCATGGGTAAAACAACACAGTCCTACTTGAAGAAAACTCTATCAAAATTTCTGCAGAGACAAAGGGCAGAGAGCAGCCTTATGGATTTTGTGCCTGGAAAGGGCCATTAATCTAATCTAACCTTCTGCAAAGAAAAAGCTGTGTTTTTTCACTGAGGAAAAACTTGCAGCCAAGGAAACTGTTTGAACACAGAGATGTTAAGGCTGGTTGGTAATGTTTGCCTACAGTTTTAAGGCTGTGGGTGCACAATGAAGACAAGTTCTGTTAAACAGATATTTATAAGGTACTAAAAATGTTTCAGTCTCAATATTTGCCTCAGCAATTCAGTTTCATTTGAATCCTGAGATTCTGTAAGTCAGGTGGCTCAGAATCCTGAGACTCTGTAAGTCAGTGCTTCTGCTTAGGATTTGAATGGCATCACCATGATTGCTGAGGAAAATAACTTTAAATTCAGTTTTCAAATATACAAAAGCTACGATGCCAAAAAATGCAATTTTCCAATATATTACATAACCTGAAGTCAGCTTATTTGGTCATTGCTCCTCTCAAGTGCAGACAGTGCCACACTGGGCACTCTCTGGACTACAGGCAATATTGCCTTAATAAAGTGAGGCTGGGGGAGAGGCAAACATTTGTGTAGGGGTGAAAACCTTGGAGGCCTGGAGAGTTTGCCTCTGGAGTCAGGGAGGATGTGGCAGGTGGAGGGGTGAGACAGGGCAGGCTTATTCCATTAAGACAATAGCACAGTACCTGGCAAAGTGCATTAAGTGGTCTCAGGAGGGATATAAAGGAGCCCCAGGGGAGGTTTGCTTTGGCCTCTGAAAGGATTTGTTACCTTAGGACAAGAATAGTGCAGTTGTGGCAGCACAATACCCAGCCAAAGAGCAGCAGGCAGGAACAGGAGCACAGGGGGAGTGCTGCTCTACCTCAGAAATGTAGGCTTGTGCAGATGTGGAGATTGATTTATTGAAATAAATGTAGGTTTTGAACTTGTAACGTTCAAGTGCAGTTCTGTTCTCTTTTATTAACCAGCACAGAGAATGGGAGATATCCAGAGCCCACCAAATCTCACACAGAGCTGTCTATGAGCTGGTTTAGCTCCACACAGCCAGAAACAGCCAGGCTACCTAATGGTGGGCTTGCCCATTCCTCAGAAAACCCAGAGGCAGCAGGAATAGCCACTGCTGACACCTAGAAAAGGTTTCTAACACATTCACTTGCCTGCTTCATGGAGAAGCAAAGGGAGCAGTGGCTCAGCACTGGCTCAGGAGGAAGCCTGCTTTTGCCACTGATTTCATTGCCATGGCTTCAGGCGTGCCCTGTTTTCCTAGATAAGCAGCTAAACTTCCAATCCTCTCTGCTAAACATTTTTTGCCCATTACTTCTCGTGGACAGAGTAACTCCTCAGGGGTAGAAGGGAGGAGAAACAAAGCCAAGTCATCCTGAATCTCCTGCCAGTAAATGGAAAATGTTACTAGAATTCAGGAAAGCGTGCGTGGGCGATGAATTCAGAACCAATTTTACGGGGGAAAAATTTGCTGGAAGAAAAAATAAACTCCTACAGTTCTTTGCAAAAGTACTTCCAGCTTTCCTTTTATAAAAGCTCTGAAGCTGTCATGTAGCACTCCTGGTGATTAATGATTCTGGGATAGCTGATATGTGGGTGACGAATTAGCAATCAGCTTTAGGCTTACACAGACATCCAGCCTCTTTCCACTGCGTGTACAAATTGCTTCCAAAAATGTTTGTGAGATGCAGTGGTTGAAATGTTTTGGGGAAAAAAGGTGGGAGCCAGTTGTTGGAGTCGTGGATGCTGAGAATTTTAGATTTTCTGTGCTGACTCTGACTCCTAGGAGAGCACTGCATTTGGTCTGAGGCTGTGGAGAAGCTTCCAAAATTGATAGATAGCACTGGGATTATGGGTGTGGAGTTGGTTAGAAGTGTGTGAAATCACAGGAAAACTTAGAGTTTGAGGTTTTAGAATATGGTAATATATATGAGGCAAGATGGAGGTTTTAGGGTGGAGACATGTTGTTCTTTACCTTCTTCTTCACCCTTTTCTTCATGGCTTTGGGCGGTGTTTTGTAACTGGACAGAAAAGTCTGCAGTGCAGGCTTTGAGTAATTAGTTATTGGGCTAAAAGTGAAAATAATTTAGGTGCCATTTCTTAATTGGATAGTTTAGCCTTAAAAGACCTTGTAACAAGAGATAGTTGGCCATTTTGTGCCTTGCTAATGAAAGGCTGCAGAACTCCCTGATGTGAGACTGTAACACTGATAAGAAATAACAAACACCTGAGCCTGAATGCAAGCTATTGTCTCAAGCGCCTTCCATCCTGACCTCGAGAGAGTC